GTGCCACACCTGTTTAGTGCCACACCTGTTTAGTGCCACACCTGTTTGCCACTGAACTGTGTTCTGTCCTTTTGGGTCTGTTTGTTCTGTCTGTAGAACCGTCTGTGGCAGCGGGATCACCGAGACTTCAGAGCCATCCAGCCTGATGCCGGCTGTTACAATGACGTGAGTTCACACACACATCTGGAGATGGTTCAGAACCAGTGTTGATGTTCTGTTTCCTGTGGGTCACATTGGGTCAGAAACCAAAGAATCAAAACACCCTCTCGTTTTGCAGCTCCTTCCTCCTCTTGGCATGTTGAACAACCCGATGAACGCCGTCACCACGAAGTTCGTCAGAACCTCAACCAACAAAGTCAAGTGTCCTGTGTTCGTCATCAGGGTGAGCTGTTGCATCACTTCCTGGTTACTCTGCTGCTGTTGCATCACTTCCTGGTTACTCTGCTGCTGTTGCATCACTTCCTGTTTACCCTGAGTTCAAGCAGCTGACTTCCTTCCTGTCTGCAGTGGACTCCTGAAGGGCGCCGGCTGGTGACTGGAGCCTCCAGCGGAGAGTTTACTCTTTGGAACGGACTCACCTTCAACTTTGAGACCATCCTGCAGGTAACCATCCGTCTGTCCACCTGTCTGTCTGCCTGCTTGTGTGTGGTGAAACAGGGTCACTGTTTCAGTTCCAGCCTATGAAAGGGTCCGGTCATCTATGATTAGATCGTCATCAGACAGAGTTCTGCACTCTTCTAAACACTGACTTATTCTCCAGGTCTGCTGAAGTTTGGAGAAAAAAAAGAATATAGATTTGTTTGTTTTCAAATTTTCTCCCTCCTTTTTCTAAAGTCTTATTTTATTAAAAAGTTGTTCAGACAGTGTGATTATTTTAATAGTTTTAGTTTACATTGTAAAACACTTTGTGAAACAAATACAAATTTAAATAGGGAATACTGACACCCAATCTCACAACCAGAACCTGAACCAGAGAAAGACTAGAAAACATTGTGGAGTTCAAGCATCAGAAGCCTTAACATGAGTCCACGCTCACCTGACTGACATGACTTCAGCTCACCTGCTCTTCCTCCCTGCAGGCTCATGACAGTCCGGTTCGGGCCATGACCTGGTCTCACAACGACATGTGGATGCTGACGGCAGACCACGGAGGCTACGTAAAGTACTGGCAGTCCAACATGAACAACGTGAAGATGTTCCAGGCTCACAAGGAGGCCGTTAGAGAAGCCAGGTTCAAATCTCCCACTCTCTGTAGTTCAGGCCCACGGGCCGCACGGCGCCACTGCCTTTTGCTCATCATGTTGTTGTTGACTGTCTGCCTGTTGAGCCATGTTTCTGTACTGAATAAAGTTATCCATATCTGTGAACTGGACGAGCCCCTGGTTTGGCTTAGACCGGGTCAATAAAGTTCTGACAGGGATCAATAAATAAAATGATCGGCAGCTCTGCTGATGCAGGGCCGAGCTGATTCGGCCCAAACCAGCAGCTGCTTGTCTCCTGATAAACATTTCAATTACACATATGCACCTCACTGTAGCCTACATTTCCCATAATGCTCCTGGTCAGCATCCTTATCCTTCCTTAGTCTGAGTGATGTCATCACCGGCTGTGAAAGTCCATTGACTCTTTCTGCTGTTTTAATAAAACAAAATGAGTTCATGAAACAAGCAGAGATTTTTGCGAAGGCTACAGATTATAGATTAAATAAAGTTTAAATCTTAATATACATAAGCAGCTCAACGTTTTTCAGACCTGAAGTTCTGTCTGTTCTGTTGGACAGTTTCTGTGAAACCAGCTGCCATGTACCGGATCATTGCCTCACCATCAAGTACTGTAGCAGCTGAAGACGTGCACTAAATCTTCTGGATCTGCAGTTGAACTTTAAAAAACATTAGGCATGGGTGCAGCTAAAACTCAGAAAATGTTCTGTACCCGTGTAGTTAAAATATTGAAGCAGGCTGTACTGGTAAAGTTAAACTGAAATAAATGGACCGTGAAGGTGCTGGGAAACTCTAGAACGTGTCTGGTGCAGTGCTGGTAAATGCTAAAGTCTTGTTACTTAAATACTAGAGAACTTCTTGCCTTGGGTAAACTAGAAAACATTGAGTTTATTGAGCATGAACCTCGAAGTCTTGAACCACTTTGACTGTGTTGCCTGGGGGGAGGACGGCCCCCAGAAACCATCTTCTCACCAGCAAACTAGTTGGTCCACTATAGGAGTGTACTGCTTAGTGGGGAAACAGTTTGTTTGTGACTCCTCAGACTGATGACGCCCTTCGGATGGAGGGCGAAACGTTTCTCAACAAAAAAAGAAACTATCCAGATGACCTGACTGAACTTTGTTGGATGTTTTACCTGGATTATAGAGCATGGACTTTGATGTCTAGAAGACATTGTGGTATCAGTGCGGTTAAACTACACAATGTGTTAGTTTTGTTAAACTCTTAAGAAATGGTTACTTGCCTTGGCAGGGCGCTCATCTCCAACGTGATGTTTGTCTGTTGCGCGCGTTTGTACTGACGGGGGTTCAAGGAAACGGCTCGGCTTGACAGAAATGGAGCGCTACCTCTAGCTTTTTAGCTTGCGCGTCTCTATGGCAGTGCCAGCAGTTGTCGACAGGAGTGGGGTAAAGACTGAAATGTGTCAGAGTGGTTAAAACATAGAAAACATATCAGTTTTGTTAAACTAGAAAACATATTTGTGGTTACACTCTTGTGATTAAAGTACAAACCGGATTCCAAAAAAGTTGTGACACTAAACAAATTGTGAATAAAAACTGAATGCAATGATGTGGAGGTGCCAACATCTAATATTTTATTCAGAATAGAACACAAATCACAGATCAAAAGTTTAAACTGAGAGAATGTTTCATTTTAAGGGAAAAATCTGTTGTTTCCAAATTTCATGGCGTCAACAAATCCCAAAAAAGTTGGGACAAGTCCATTTTTCCCACTGTGTGGCATCCCCCCTTCTTCTTCCAACACTCAACAGACGTCTGGGGACAGAGGAGACCAGTTTCTCCAGTTTAGAAATAGGAATGCTCGAGTGGTGGCGCAGAGGTTAGAGAGGTGGGCTTGTGATCTGAAGATCGCCGGTTCACGCCCCGGCCCCGACAACATCAAAAATTGTGGGTGGGGTAGGTGAAACACCCACACTTGCCCCCACCCTCATTCGCCCCACTCTGGGCCCATGAGCAAGGTCCTTAACCCCCACCATGTGCTCCCTAAAACAGGTCTCTCTTGAAAATGAGTTCTCGTGGCTCAATGAGACTAACCTGGATAAATAAAGGCTAAATGAAAAAAAAATCCATGTCTAATACAGGCCTCTAACTGTTCAATCGTCTTGGGCCTTCTTTGTCGCACCTTCCTCTTTATGAAGCACCAAATGTTCTCTATAGGTGAAAGATCTGGACTGCAGGCTGGACATTTCAGTACCCGGATCCTTCTCCTACGTAGCCATGATGTTGTGATTGCTGCAGAATGTGGTCTGGCATTATGGTGTTGAAAAATGCAGGGTCTTCCCTGAAAGAGATGACGTCTAGATGGAAGCATATGTTGTTCTAGAACCTGAACATAGTTCTCTGCATTAATGGTGCCTTTCCAGACATGCAAGCTGCCCATGCCACAAGCGCTCATGCAACCCCATACCATCAGTGATGCGGGAAGATGGCGCCGGTGCTGGTGGCTTGCCGTTCACCTCTGTCTGTTTTGATTGTTTTTTTCTGTTTTTGTCATTTTTCTTCTGTGACATAAACTCACTGCTTGTTTATGATCACCAACAACTTTTAAATATACAGTTATCCACTGCAAACTCTGCCTTGTTCGACCAATTTGGTCAGGGCTCTGGACCCCCACCCCCTCTGCTTGTTGATGTCCCGGTTTACCTGAAGCGTGCAGTGTTTCTGCCCGCCCGAAAACATCGCTCCAGGCGCCGTGGGAGACGTGCCGGCCGTCTCATGAAGATTAAAGCCAGCATCAAGCTCTCTGCTGCCTCGTCACCTGCTGCTGACCATCAGACGTTAAACTGTCCATCCGAATGCTTCGCTGATCCACTCAACTCCAGCTCGCTCCAGGTGCCCGGGCCTGGTTCACGCAGCGGGCGTGTGTGGTTTCGGCCGTCTCCAGTGGAACTTAACCAACTCCAGACTGTCTGCTGCATCATCTCCTGCCGACTATCTGCTGGATATTCACCTGTCCGGGTGCTTCGCAGATCCTGCTGGGTCCTGCCTGATCCCCGTAGTCGAGTCTGGCTCTCACTGCGGGCGCGCGCACAGCTGTGGTGTCTCTGGTCCGTGGAAGCGCGGTTCAAACTCCAGAAGTTTGAAACAGCTGATCTGTGCTCGGAGCACAGCTTTACCTTCACCTACTGGTCCTACAAAGATTGCTCTGCTGAATGTGCGGTCACTGGCAAATAAAACCTTCATCTTAAACAACTTTTTCTGCTCCAATGGACTGGACTTCATGTTTGTTACAGAGACCTGGCTCATCACTGGTGGGTTAAGTGTTTTTTCTGAACTTTTGCCGATGGATTGTGCCTTTTTTAATGCTCCAAGGACTTCTGGTAGGGGTGGTGGATTATTAACAGTTTTTAAAAAGCTCTGGAACTGCAGACAGCTACAGGCTGTGACTTTACAGAGTTTTGAACTGCTGCATTTTGAGCTGGGCCGCTCCAACCCAACACTCTGCAGCCTGATCTACAGACCATCCTCATACAACAAAAACTTCATAAGTGAATTTTCTGACTTTCTGACTGGAATACTGCTCAACTACGACAGGGTCTTGATTCTGGGGGACTTTAATGTACGTTTGCTGCTCTGAACAGCCTTTGGTGCAGGAGTTTCTAAATCTGATCCAATCTTTCAACCTTGTGCAAAATGTTGTTGGTCCAACTCATCAACAGGGCCATACACTTGATTTAGTTCTGTCTCATGGATTGTCTGTGGTTAATCTGGAAATTGGGGATGCTATTGTTTCAGATCACAAACCCATTTCATTCCAAACCTCTGTTATTCATGAGTCTAAATCCCCCGCTCCAGCCAAGAGTTGTCGAATATTTAACTCTTCAACCGCTGCTCTTTTTTCCTCTGCATTCATCACTGATGCTGCTTCAGTCCCTGAAACCTCTGCCTGTATTAGTACGCAGGAGCTGCTCAGTAGGCATGATGCAACCTGCTCTAAGATTTTAGACCTCGTGGCCCCGCTAAAAATCAGGCGACCAAAGTGGTCAACACACCCCTGGCTGAACGCGACCACTTGTGCAGCCAAATGTCTATGCAGGAGAGCTGAACGCAAGTGGAAAAAGGACAAATTACAGGTTTCGTTCATTATGTTAAAAACGTGTTTGAAAGATTATCAGAGCATCGTTAAATCTGAGAAGAACAAATACTTCTCCCAAATCATTGCTTCAAACTGTCAAAATCCCCGTGTTCTTTTTAATACCGTAAATTCCATTTTAAACGTGCCTCGGTCTGCCAGCATGGAGGCCTCCGTTGACATCTGCAACAACTTCACCAGATACTTTGCTGATAAGGTAGAGTTGATTAGGTCATCCATCCCCCTGTCCACAACTGATCCCTCTGTCTTTGTCCCTTGCTCAGCTGTCTTCAAACAGTTTGAACCCATTTCACTCCCATTTCTAAACAAAGTCGTTGATCAGATGAAACCCTCCGGTTCCCCTGCTGACCCCATTCCTGCGTCGTTTTCCAAACAAGTTCTACCCACGATTGGACCCTCTGTTCTTACTATTGTAAAAAGTAGTATTGTGACAAATGTGGTTCCCGATGTTTTCAAACATGCAGTAGTTCATCCGTTAATTAAGAAACCTGGACTTGACCCTTCAACTTGCTCAAATTTCAGACCAATCTCAAAACTTCCCTTCCTGTCCAAAATCCTGGAGAAAATAGTTTTCATTCAATTAAACAAGTTTTTGAATGAGAACAGAATCTTAGAAATTTTTCAATCTGGTTTTAAGCGACTCCACAGCACTGAAACAGCATTAGTAAGGGTTTGTAACGATATTATGATATCAAACGATTCCGGTCAATTTGTGGTACTTGTGCTCCTGGACCTTACTGCTGCTTTTGATACTGTTGACCACAGTATCCTTATATCACAGCTGGAACAGTCGGTTGGGATCACAGATGCTGCATTAGAATGGTTCCACTCATACATGAGTGGCAGGAGTTTCTGTGTCAAGGTTGGTAATAATATATCCGCCTCATTATCTCTTTCATGTGGGGTCCCACAAGGTTTGATTCTTTGACCCCTTCTGTTTTCACTTTATTCGCTCCCACTGGTGTCCTTCCCGAGGAAACATGGTCTTTCATTCCATTGCTATGCTGATGACTGCCAGATCTACCTGCCTGTGAAACCAGCAAGTGTTTGCTCCATTCACCCTCTGTTAAAATGTCTGGATGACATTAAGGCCTGGATGGCTTCAAATTTCTTAAGTTTTAACAATGACAAAACTAAAGTCATTGTCTTTAGCCCTAGCTCAACTGCCACCACTGATCCTGTCAACCTGGACTCTCTTCAGCCATATCTGAAGCAGTCTGGTAAAAATCTCGGGATGGTTTTAGACTCTAACTTAAAGTTTGACAAACAAATCAACTCTGTTCTGCAGAAAAGCTTCTTCCAACTCAGACAGGTAGCTAAGCTCAAGCCAGTGTTGTCCAGACCAGACCTTGAGAAACTAGTCCACACCTTTGTCACGACCCGATTGGACTATTGCAACACACTGTATGCTGGGATCAGCCAGGCCTCCATCTCACGTCTTCAACTCGTCCAGAATGCTGCAGCTCGGCTTTTAACCGGAACTCGTAGGTCTGAACATATTACACCGGTTCTGTCCTCCCTTCACTGGCTCCCTGTTCGCACGAGGATAGTTTTTAAAATTCTTCTGTTGACCATCAAATGCCTAAATGGCCTCGCACCCCTTTACCTCTCTGAGCGTCTGGAACCTTACGTTCCCTCTCGGGCCCTGAGATCATCCGATCAGCTGCTTTTGGCAGTTCCGAAAACAAGAAGCTCAGAGGAGATTGGGCTTTTTCAGTCATGGGTCCCAAACTCTGGAACAACCTGCCCTCCAACATCAGGCAGGCCACCTCCCTTCATCACTTCAAATCCCTGCTAAAAACACATCTGTTTTCTCAGGCATTTCACACAGTGTAAAATGATCTAGTGTTTTTTTTTTATCTGTGACCCTATGTTTTAAATGCTTTTTATTAATTCTTTAGTTATTATCATTATTAGTGTATTGTATATATATGTTTATATATTTTTCTCTTTAATTTACTCATTGATTGTTGTTGTTGTTGTTGTTAAGCACTTTGATAACTTGTTCTGTTTTAAATGTGCTCTATAAATAAATTTGACTTGACTTGACTTCTGAACGGATCGTTGATAACAACTTGGGCTATCCTTGTCCTCTCTGGTCCGGATGACATGGCGTCCCAGTGTTCCATAAAGAACTTCAAATCGTGACTCATCTGACCACAGAACAGTCTTCCATTTTGCCACACTCCATTTTAAATGACCCCTGGCCCAGTGCAAACGTCTGAGCTTGTGGAGCTTGCTTAGAAATGGCTTCCTCTTTGCACTGTAGAGTTTCAGCTGGCAACGGCGGATGGCACGGTGGATTGTGTTCACTGACATTGCTTTCTGGAAGTATTCCTGAGCCCATTCTGTTATTTCCTTGACAGTGGCATTCCTGTTTGAGGTGCAGTGACGTTTAAGGGCCCGGAGATCACGAGTATCCAGTAGAGTTTTACAGCCTTGACCCTTACGCACAGCGATTGTTCCAGATTCTCTGAATCTTTTGATGATGTTATGCACGGTTGATGATCCATCCATTTCCTTCCGCTTATCCAGGATTGGGTCGCAGGGGTAGCAGCCTAAGTAGGGAGGCCCAGACTTCCCTCTCCCCAGCCACTTGGGCCAGCTCTTCCGGGGGAATCCCGAGGCGTTCCCAGGCCAGCCGAGAAACATAGTCCCTCCAGCATGTCCTGGGTCTTCCTCTGGGCCTCCTCCCGATGGGACGTGTCCGGAACACCTCACCAGGGAGGCATCCAGGAGGCATCCTAAACAGATGCCCGAGCCACCTCAACTGGCTCCTCTCGACGTGGAGAAGCAGCGGCTCTACTCTGAGTCCCTCCCGGATGATCGAGCTTCTCACCCCATCTCTAAGGGAGAGCCCAGACGGTTGATGATAACTTAAAAGTCTTTGCTATTTTACGCTGGGTAACACCATTCTGGTATTGCTGCACTATCTTTCTGCACAACAATGGTAGAATTGGCGATCCTCTTACCGTCTTGGCTTCTGAGAGACACTGGCACTCTGAGAAGCTCTTTTTATACCCAATCATGTTGTCAATTGACCCACTTAGTGTTAATTGGTCTTCCAGCTGTTCGTTATATGCTCAATTTACTTTTTCCAGCCACTTATTACTACTTGTCCCAACTTTTTTGGGATTTGTTGACACTGTGAAATTTTGAATCAACATATTTTTCCTTCAAAATGTTACATTTACTCAGATTAAACTTTTGATCTGTCATCTATGTTATATTACGAATAAAATATTGACATTTGCCATCTCCACATCATTGCATTCAGTTTTTATTCACAATTTGTTTAGTGTCCCAACTTTTTTGGAATCCGGTTTGTACTTATATAACTACTATTACTTATAATGTGTATAATATTTACTTTTTTATTTTATCACTTTGATAAAGAGATTAATCTGAATGAGTCTTTTAGGATAGGGGAGTAGCGAGGGATCGGGGCGGCTCAGATTGGCTAGGAAGTAAGAAAGTGGGTCTTTAAGGAAAATAGGTTGGAACCACTGGACTAGTCAACTAGTCTATTCAACCCCTAGTCTGAAACAGATTGTCTTGCTGTTACCCAAAGCTGATTCCTCCTGTGTAGGAGGCTAACTCAGAAGTAAACCAGGGGCTATCCCTGCCCTTTATTCTGAATAGGCGAAGTGGAGCGTGTTCATTTACAAAATGAATGAAACTATTATGAAAATGGTTCCAAGCAAAGTTCACGTTGTCAGTTAATGATATGTGATGCCAGTCAAAGTGGAACAGATCCCAAAGAAAGGCTTGCTCACAAAAATGCTTCACATTCTGTTTTAGAATCATTCTATGTTTGAAATGAGGCATTTTTGTACCTCTAACAGCAGCAACTGCACAGTGGTCGTTTAGATCATTTATAAAAACTCCGAACCCAGTGTACTGATGTGGCATGTTCATGATGATAAGATCTAGAAGAGAAGATTTCACAGGGCACTTTGGATTAGGCTGAGTCCAGATGTTTGACTCTCCTCTCCTCTGTTGAGTCCAGATGTTTGAGTCCAGATGTTTGACCCTCCTCTTCTGTCTCTGCAGCTTTTCTCCAACTGACAACAAGTTTGCCACCTGCTCAGACGATGGTACTGTCCGGATCTGGGATTTCATGCGCTGCCACGAGGAGCGGATCCTCCGAGGTACTCAGTGGGACCAACATCAGGCCCACCCCACGATGAAACGTGTAGAGACTTTCTGATCGGTCCTAGAGCCTCAAACCTGATGGTTTGCTGGCTGACCTTCAGGGGCACCTGTAACAGTTCCTTCTTTGTTTTGAAAAGTTTCTGTGTTCCTGCTATAAGAACAGGTTGTTTTGTTCAGGTCACGGAGCTGACGTAAAGTGTGTCGACTGGCATCCAACCAAAGGTCTGGTGGTGTCAGGGAGCAAAGACAGCCAGCAGCCTATCAAGTTCTGGGACCCAAAGATGGGCCAGAGTCTGGCCACGCTGTGAGTTTCACACCCACACAACAGAGTCATCGCCTGCTGACTTCAGACTCACCTCTGACCTTTGTACGTCCTCAGCCACGCCCACAAGAACACCGTCATGGAGGTGAAGTGGAACCTGAATGGTAACTGGCTGCTGACGGCGTCACGTGACCACCTGTGCAAATTATTCGACATCCGGAACCTGAAAGAGGAGCTGCAGGTGTTCAGAGGGCATAAGAAGGAGGCCACAGGTTTGTCCACCTAAACGCAAGGAGTTGAAAGCATGAAACTACTCTATAGATTTACTAGTTCTCTGTCAGACTCAGTCTGCTGTCAGAGCGACGGTGTCCTGGGTCTTCTCCAGGGTCTCCTCCCTGTCGGACATGTCCAGAGCACATCCAGGGTCCATCCTTACCAGATGTCTGAACATCCTCAGCTGTCTCCTCTGGATGTGGAGGAGCAGCAGTTCTACTCTGAGTCTCTCCTGAAGAACTGAACTTCTCACCCTATTTCAAAGGGAGAGTCCAGCTCCCCTGCAGAGGAAACTCATTTAGATCTCCTGGATCCAGGATCTGAATCTTTCAGTATCTACCCAGAGTTCATGACCATAGGTGAGGGTAGGAACGTAGACCGACTGGTAAACAAAGCTTTGCCTTACAGCTCAGCTCCCTCTTCACTACAACGGACCGGCACAGAGTCTGCAATGAGGCAGAACATCACCCCAAACCTGGAGAGGACAGCACACCCTTTTCAGACTGAGGACTTGATCTTCATCCCAGCTGAAACCGCTCCAGTGAGAGCTGAAGATCACAGCACGATGACGCCAACAAGACCACATCATCTGCAAAGAGCAGAGATGGAATCCTGAGGTCACTGAACCACCGGACTCCTTCCGCCCCCTGGCTGCACCGAGAAATTCTGTCCATAAAAGTTATGAACAGAATCAGTGACAACTGGCAGCTGAAGGAGTCCAACTCTCACCCTGAAGGGTCTGACTTATTGTCGGCAAAGAGAACCAAACTCTTGCACCGCTTGTATAGAGACCGAACAGCCCGTAACAACGGACCTCCAATCCCATACTCACGGAGGACCCCCCACAGTGTACCCCGAGGAACACGGTCAAAAGTCTTCTCCAAGTCCACAAAACACATGTAGACTGGATGGGCAAATTCCCATGACCCCTCGAGGACCCTAGTGGGGGTAAAGAGTTGGTCCAGTGTTCCACGTTCCATGCAGTGGAACCTAGTTGGTTCATCATGGCTCATCTGAGGTTCAACCACCGGACTCTCTCCGGTACCACTGACCAGACCGTACCGGACAGTCTGAGGAGACGCTCCTGTTCGTCTCAGGTAGCCTCTGGTGTGTTGAACAGTGACGACATGTTCTCAGCCTGATAAATTAGTCAGTAGTTTTTATTTCCAGTTTTATCTCGTGTGTTTAAATCTAATCTATGACTTTGTTTTCTTTTTGGCCACATACAGCTGTTACCACATCTGGTCAGAGATCAGCTGTCACCCCTCCTTAAACCAAAACGATACGTAAAGTTCCATACGTGACTCCAGCTGACGGTAGTTTGATCATGGCCCATGGAACATTTTGAGCACTCAACCCTACTGTTCAAACTCCATAAGTCCTGGGGAGGGGGTGGGGGGGTGACGAAGTCTCCCCTGGTGGCAGTGAATCAGTGCCATAGGAACACGTACAGATGTTTTGAAATGTATGACCTTGTTCATGACTCTCACAGGGGGCGGGCGGGGCGCCCCCCTCAGCTGCTGTGAGGGAAAACACTAGCTGATGATGATGATGTTGTTGTTTCCTCATTAGCTGTCGCCTGGCATCCGGTTCACGAGGGTCTGTTCGCCAGCGGAGGCTCCGACGGCTCGCTGCTGTTCTGGAACACCGGGTAAGAACCAGGAGGCAGAACCTGAAAGCCCGGCGCTCTTTCTGTTCCTTACACTTGTTGTTTGTGTCAGTGTGGAGAAGGAGGTTGGGGGCATGGAGATGGCCCATGAGGGGATGATCTGGAGTCTGGCCTGGCACCCACTGGGTCACATCCTGTGTTCTGGTTCCAACGACCACAGCAGGTATGCACACCAGAACCTGCAGCATCAAGGATCCTGGCCTTTACAGTCTCCTCCAAAAGTACCGGCACAGCCCGGCAAGCCTCGTTTCTGTTCCCTGAAGACATTAAGATGCATTCACTTCACTTTATTCCAGTTCATTCCAGTTTATTGATTTATTTTTCATTTCATGCCAGTTCATTCCAGTTCATTCCAGTTTATTCCAGTTTTTTTTCCAGCTTGTTTCCATTTATTTCATTTCATTCCAGTTTATTTATTTTTTATTTCATTCCAGTTTATTCCAGTTTATTTCAGTTCCGGTAGTTTTGGAGGGACTGTCGGCGCTAACTCTTGTGCTCGTCGTATTCTACAGTAAATTCTGGACCAGGAACCGACCCGGGGACAAGATGCGGGATCGTTACAACCTGAACCTGCTACCTGGGATGTCAGAGGACGGCATGGAGTACGGTGAGCCTCACAGAAACTACTGAAGACCATGTTTGTGTTTGACTTGGTTCTGATGGACCTGCCTCGGTTTTCAGATGACCTGGAACCAAACAGCATGGCCATGATTCCCGGGATGGGAATCCCTGAGCAGCTGAAGGCCGCCATGGAGCAGGAGCAGAGCAGTAAGTTCTGGAAGCTGAAACAGAGATGATGATCAGGAGGAGGGGTCATTTAGGGGTGTCTACTGTCTGCAGGTAAAGAAGCAGCTCCAGAAGTGGAGATGTCCATCCCTGGACTGGACTGGGGCATGGACGAGGTGATGGGCAAAGACGCCAAGAAGGTTCCTCAGAAGAAAGTCCCATACGCAAAACCCATCCCAGCTCAGTTCCAGCAGGTACTCACACCTGTCCAGGTGACGATGATGTCATGTGACCACAGAGACTAAAGACATGCGTCTGTCTGCAGGCCTGGGCCGAAAACAAAGTTCCCATGATGCCTCAGTCTGCAGACCTGATCAAAGACCGAAGCATGGACCTGAAGGTGGACATGAAGAAGAAGACACAGGCGGAGCTCGAGCAGGAGATGGCAGCGCTCCAGTACACCAACCCCCAACTGCTGGAGGTAAACAACAATACACCAACCCCCAGCTGCTGGAGGTAAACAACAATACACCAACCCCCAGCTGCTGGAGGTAAACAACAA